AAAAGTTATTTTGGCGGTTATTTAAAATTAAAAAAATTATTTTTAAATATTTAGATTTTATAATTATTAAATTGTAATAATAAGTGCGCGCGCTTGTACTCTTAAAAAAGGCATGAAAGATTGATACTCGAATGTATCGAAAGTATTGTTGACGCTTTTCCGCGACGCTGATTGGTTATCGCGATTGTTCTGACAGTTTGATACTTTGAGAGCGAAGGTTATTTTGACGGTTATTTAAAATAAAAATAATTTATTAAAATATTTAGATTTCTTAATTATTAAATTATTATAATAAATGCGCGCGCGTAGCGCGCGCCTGTATTGTTCTAGTCTTTTTCTAAAAAATGTCTGTCTTTTTCCAACATGGCGGCGCTCAGACCTGTCAGCTCGCAGCTTTGATGATATTAATCACATTGATATAATTAATATCGGTCGTAAAATGTATACATAACGTGTTGTGGAGACCAATAGAGATAGTGTATATCATCAAAATAATAGTATGCTTTATAAAAAAATTTTTTCTCGTCTTGAAGTGCAGAAGTGTATATTTCTCGTTTTAAAGTGCAAAAGTGTAGCAAGACACATGCTGACAACACTCTTAGGCCGGTATTTAAGAAAACTCTTAGGCCGGTATTATTTAAGAAAAACGGTAAGAAATTTCATATTTTTAATATTCTTTTCAGTACATTTAAAAAATACATATACATTTTTCAATATTCTTTTCAGAATAAAAATTTTTGCAGCGGCAGCAACAACGACAGCAATGTCAGCAGGGAAAACAATTTATATACGAGTACTACGTAAGTTATTTAAAAATTAAAAAAAGCATCCTGAAATGAAAAAAATTACTAATTATATTTGTTTTGTTACAGCACCACGATGGAATCGACGAAGAGGAGGCCGCGGTGGAGATCGCGGTGGAAACAGAACGTTCCACCTCCACTTTTAATATTAATATTAAATATATTTTGTAAAAAAAATACATATTTTGTATTTTATTTAAATAAAATGTTAATGTATTTATAT